ACTCAAAATTATGAACCTCGTCCAACGTACAACATAATTCCTTATGACCGCCCAATAATGCAACTTCAAAGGGGAGAGCCCTCGAGTCAAGGTGGTAACCAAGATCAACAAAACCAACAGATGCCCCGTCGAACAACAAGAGTGATCCGGCCAACCAGGTGTGGCACTGGTTCACGACATGATACACACAGGTACTAATACATATATGCAATTTAACTTAGTTAAATTTGTAGTGAATTTTTTACTTTTAACATAAATTCTTTCACTTGCAGGCACCATTAAATATCATGGATGAATAATTCATAATTCAAGCATGTATTAATGACTAAGTTAGTGAGATCAATTTGATGTATACAATACCATCAATTATTTATACATATGTAATTTTTTCAAAATAGTACATCATCATTATTAAATGATTATAATATTATAATAAATATATCATTACTAATCAATCAATATAATTACACAATAGTATAATTCATGAACCAATAATTAGTAATCATTTGAAAATTAACGCAAAATCATCACAACACATACACCCATGCGACGGATTTTTTAAATAATAACAAGGCAAATACAAATCCTTTTTATACGATTAGATAACAAGGCAAACGTAAATCCTTTTTATGGGTATTCCTTCTTTTGACACTTTTCAAAAATTGGTACGATTTGGAATCCATTTCAAACTTTAGTCACCATCGAAGAAAGCACCCTCAGTTCTTTGTCTGTTTTGAAATTGTGAATTTCTTTTCTATTGACTTGTATTCGTCTTTAGTTGATTATTAACATTTCGTCCTTTCCTTTAAAAAAAAAAAAAAAAAAAAAAAAAAAAAAAACGTACGCACACACAAGAATTGATCCGTTGAAGGGGACAATTGAAGGGTGTTCTTAAAATAAATTTAATAATAAAATCAAAATGTGTATATTTGGTATGCATATAAGCATCAAAGTATTATCTATCACATTAGTGATAACCTATTGCGGTTGAATAGGTAGGTCATGCTTGGATCTAAAGTCCAACCAGTAAATATGGTGGATTTCGAGTCTATCCAATTGGTAAAGTGTTAGATGGCAAATTATTGTCTGAATCATAATAAAAAAGTACATTTTTAATATACTAAGCGGTTATTTGGTTTAAGTTATATAAGATAACTATGGTTATATTTGCTTGGATTTATAAGTTTCTCATGTTTGGTTTAGGTTATGTAATTTTCCTAAAGAATGTCACATAACCTCCACATTAAGCTTTTAGCTATTGGAATGGAATTTGATATACCTTCTAATTTTTAGGTAATCTCACATTCCCTTGTCTTATTATTAATTTTGGACTTTTTGACATTTTAATCAATTTGTCTTATTTACATACTTTAGTTTTAAATCAAACACAGAAATATAATATTTATAGTAATCTAACATGGTAATATAACATTTCGCGAACCAAACGCCTCCCTAAAAGTACATTATTTGTGTACTGAATATACATTATTTGATAATATGGTTTACACAATAATAATTGGACGTCAATGTGCCCGTAGAGATAGCAATGGAGTGAGGCGGGGAGTATACTCCCCGTCCCCGTCCCCGTCCCCACTATCCCGACCTTGTCCCCGTCCCCGTCCCCTGTGGGGAATATAAAAAATTCTCCGTCCCTGTTCTCGCTGCGAATTTGGTGGGGACGGGGAATTCCAATCCCCATTTCTAATTGTATTCTTTACTAGTTGATAAATAAAAATATTAATATTTTTCATTCATTAATTTAATATTTATTTTTAAAACAAAAACAAAAATCTCTAGTTGTTTCATTTGTCAAATTATTTTACAATTGTCTGCCTTGTCTGCCTGGTAAACAGAATACTAGCAATAATAAATTTAAATGTTCTAAATTCTAATAAACTGGCTACTAAAACTTTGTTAAATGAAGAAACATAATAATTTGGCAACTAATGGGTTACTGTAAAATGACTAAAACTAATAATTTAATTCCTAAAATAATATATATATTAATTATTTTGGGGCTGGGGGTTGGGGCGGGGGCGGGGAGGGGAGGGGTATCCCCGTCTCCGCCGGGAAATTTCACAATTTTTCCGTCCCCGTCTCTGTTTCTCGAAATTTTTCTATATCCCCGTCCCTGTTTCTATCGAAGACGGGGCACATTGTCATCCCTAATGGCACAAGCCTTCGATATCGGTCAAATTCCGAAATAAGCTCATGCCTTAAACTTCTAAAAATTTCACGAGACTAATTAATTATAGTTGAAACAATTGAAGGATCAATTTTTTTTAAAAAAAAAAATTGAAAATTTGAGACTACATTGCAAATGGACTAAAAGTGTGATTTGCCCTAGTAATCGTAATTTCAATACTAAGGGGTGTTTGGTTAGATGGAAAATATTTTTCATGGAAAATGTTTTCTTAAAAGTGAAAGAAAAGAGTTAATTCCAGCAAAGGTCCTCTGAGTATAGTGATTTTCCACAATTGGTCCTTGTCTTTTAATTTGGACAAATTTGACACTTGACTATCAAAATCTTTCCAATGTTGGTCCTTCCGTCAAATGGCCGTTAATTGAACGTCAAAATAAGGGGTAAAACCGCCATTTCATCTGCTAATTGTATTCTTCCTCCCCATTCCCCTCTCTGTACGCAAAGTCACAGACACCTTCGATGATCATCTATGAAGCTCAAATTCCCAAACAAACTAACCCTAATCATAGCCGATGCCGAGAGTAATCTCAACAATATCGTCGCCATTATCTTCCTCCGAGCATTTCACTTTCATATGAAACATACCATCTCGATCTTCTCAAACCAACCTTAAGAATGTCAGTTCTCTCTCTTAAAACTAGGGTTCTTTCTTGCATTGGAATCTCATTTGCTTTGTTTTGCTGATAATTAAGGTTTCTGCTTTATGTAATTGTCTGCAGTGCAGTTCTAGAATGGCATTGAACGTGATCGGTGGGGGATTTCCAGCCGGTGCAGATGACGCGCCGCCGCCGCAGAAACAAGAAAACTCTGCCTCTACAGAAAGAAGAAAACTTTGCCGCCGTACCCAGTGCGATCCGGTACCTGGAGTGTCTGAAAAATCATGCGGTTAGCATTGTAGGAAGCGTTACGGATGGGTGCGGCGAGTTCATGCCCGGCGGCCAAGAGGGAACAGTGGCGTCCCTAAAATGTGCCGCCTGTAACTACCATCGTGGCTTCCTGGTTCTTCTTAGTTGTCACTCTCACCCTCTCTTCTCTCCTCCTTGTCGATCACCTCTCTACTTACAAAAATCCAGAGGTTCATAGACAAATACATTGAATCTTTGGTATGCAAGTGTGGTTTCCACCATATATTTTCAAGAATAAAATGCACCACTTCTTATAAACAAGTCCAGGAGGGGGAGTCCCACAACACAAGACCCACCTAATCAGTAAAGATCATTTGTTGGCAGAGACACCAAGGGAAAAAAAGAAGCTCTCATTCTCTCTCCTTCTCCACGATTCAGCTTTGAAATTCTGACAAAACTCTCATTTTTGCAATCTCTAAATCCCGTATATATGCATATGCCTCTACCTTGATTGATTGCTTGCGTGTTTGTTTGTTTCTCCTGCTTTTGTTGTTCTTGTTCATTGTTTTTTCTTTGCGTTATTTTGCCTTGATTCGGCGAATCAGTTTTTGAAGATGGCATTTTTAGCGGTATACAGAGGATTCCAGATTTTAAAGATGCCCGGTAATATTTGTGTATTGGGAGGGGAATGAAGAGGGAGAATACAACATTAACAGATGGAATGACGGTTTTGCCCCTTATTTTGACGTCCAAATAACAGTCATTTGACGGAAGGACCAACATTGGAAACATTTTGATAGTTAAGTGTCAAATTTGTCCAAATTAAAAGACAAGGACCAATTGTGGAAAATCGCTATACTCGGAGGACCTTTGCTGGAATTAACTCTGAAAGAAAATAATGTTTTATGTTGTTTGGTTGGATGGAAAACATTTTTCATTGGAAAAAGTTATCCTTAAGAATGAAGAAAACAAATTCCTAGCTCATCCTAGGTATTTTGTTTTCCATGGAAAAGGTTTTCCATAATATGACAATTTTACCTTCACTATTCTTTATTAATTACTTTTATTATTATATTATTATTATTGTTGTTGTGTAGGGTTATATTTGTCATTATACTTATTATTCCTTGCCATTCCAAACTCAACCAAACAATGAAATTTATATGGAATAAAGTTCAAATTGGCCACTGAACGTAACCTGAAAATGCAATTAGGCCACTGAACGAAAAAAAAAAAGGTACAATTAGGTCACTGAACACTCCAAAAACGTGCAGTTTCACATGATAGCAGGTTACCATCAATTTTAGCGTGTTACCTGCTTACGTGGTAGATGAGTTGGCATTTTAAATAATTTTTAATAATAATTTTTTTAAATAAATAAATAAAAAAGACGACCACCCCGTCTTTTATTTTTTTTTTCAAATTTTTAAAAATTTATTATTAAAATTAATTATTAAAATTTATTAAAAATTATTTAAAAATTATTAAAAATGCCAACTGAGCTGTCATGTAAGCAAGTAATCTTCTAAAATTGATGGTAACTTGTTATCCGGGTGGAATTGCATATATTTAGAGAGTTCATTGGCCTAATTGCACTTTTTTTTTTTTTTAGTTCAGTGGCTTAATTGCATTTTCAGGTTACGTTCAGTGGCCAATTTGAACCTTATTCTAATTTATATTCCCAGTAATTTCTTTTCAACCAACCAAATAATGAAATCTATTTTCTTGAAATTTATTTTCCATAAAATTTCAATTTCATTTCCCTTCAAATATTTTCTAAGCAAACCACACCAGCCGTAAAAGTTCAACTCCACCTGTGATATTGACCTATTATATTGATTACGAATTTTTTTGGATAAAAAAAAAAAACAAAAAACAACCTATAAATTGGACATATACTTAAAATCTCAGCCGAAAAGGATTGTGTAGTTTAAAACCGCAAAGTTGAGCAATTAGGTTAAAACTCTGATCTGATCTTTCGGCAAAAAGCAAAAAATCTTTTGCAGCTTAATTCCAGCGACGACCGGTAAGAATGGCGGATTGTGAGGGGGGCAAAATGGCGGCTCTAATTCCGTGTGGGCAGAGTAAATTAGGGTGGAATTTATTGTGCGACGAATTGGTGTGCGAGATACTTGTAAGACTACCCACAACAGCAGCCGTTCGATTCCAAGCGGTTTGCAAGCGCTGGTATTCACTCATCTCTTCTCCTTACTTTATTGCGCGTTTCCGCCACCAACATAGCCATACAGATGTTGAGTCAAGCCTTGTTTTCCGACTTGCATATCCTTGTTACTGCATCCCTGACTCTGGCGGCTGCAACCAATGCCATTCTCACTTCCAAATCATCTCCAACTCTTCTTTATTACGAAAGGTGCACGGAGAGAGTGTATTCAATTTAAGTTACCTCCCATGTTCCCCTACACAACATCTTCGATTGGAAGGCTCCTTTGCTGACTTAATCTTATGCTCTTGCCTTATTACCCTTACCAACAAAATTGATTATTATGTCTCCAATCCGCTCACCAGACAGTGGATTGCTCTCCCTCCAGCTGCCTATGAGGAGGGCTTAGCGCATCATGTCTCAAATGGCTTTTTATGTGTGGAAGATACTTCTCGTCATAACAAGTTCATGGTGGTGAGGCTTTGTACGTGGTGTAGTGCTGCTTGTACACCTCGTTCCCGGTTTAAAGCCCAAGTCTTTTCTTCAGAGAACTGGCTATGGAGGACTTTGGTTGTTTCATCCCCTCGGAGCTTGAATTACCACGGAGGGGAAGCTCCTCTTGTTGCCTATAGAGGGATGCTGCATTGGTTAAACGGTGATAGTATCGCGGTGTATGATCCACTTAACACCCCAGAAATATTCTCTCGTGTCATTGATCTTCCAATTCAAATATACCCCCCTAGTGTTTACAGAAAGAATTGCTTTGGAGTAAGCCAAGGTTGTCTTTGTGTAGTGCAAGTTTCAGATGAATTTACAATAGATCCCATATTGGATGTATGGGAACTGGAGGACTATGACTCTGGGTTGTGGATTTTGGTTCACAAGGTTCACCTTACAAATCTGATCCATAATGGGTTACTGGAAAGTTTGCAGAGTGAATTGCGTTGTTTCTCAGTACTAAGTCTCCGTCCTGAAAATAGGGATGTTATTTATTTACGGTTACTTAATGGAGTAGTCTTGGTCAACATGAAAAGCAGAATAATAGAGCGATTCTACCCAATAAATGAGAGAGCGGTGTTTTCTTGGAGGGATGCCTTTCACCTTGTTGACCAGCCGTGGCCAACAGCAATATCATTACTGTGGTACTAAACATATGGCAGGCTATGTATACTTAACAGTGTGACTTATTTTTCTTGCTTCTTCCTTTCCAATTCAATAGTAGAAACAAACTTCTTTGTTGTTATTGACTGTTTGTTTCTTATCATCTTATGGCATGGTATGGCTGGTTGTTTAATATGTAAAACTTGAAACAAACTTCAATTCCTTGTTGGTAATGTTTTTATGATAGGTTCCTTTCCTTAGACATGACTTTGGTTCTGCAGGGCTGCTGTTGGGTATAGTATACATACATGTATATATATGGAATGGTAGATAGCAGACTTTGAAACAATTAGGAAGTTTGGTTAGGAACACAGTTTACTACCTGAAATTTGCTTCTAACATTTTGTTTTAGCTGTTACTTAATTGGTATACGTTTTATCATATTAAGTTATCCAATGCATTCGTTTGGTTTTAGTTGTGACATCTTTATTGGTATTCAAAGCTTAGACACCTATACACATTCACACATACACAGTAAACTTTAGATTTACTGGATATCAGATTTGTAAGTAAAGGGGTAGGATGGAGGGAGTGTACAGGAATAAGTATAGTCCAGCTGTGCTCTATAAATAATGAATCTCATGTACAGTAAAATGAGTTCAAAATATACATGTTTGAATAATCAACAATTAATCAGTTTGTACATGTTCAATTAATGAATTCTATGCATACAAATAGTGAACTTTTTGTTTTATATAAATAATAAATTCTCAACTTGTTTTTATACTATTTTGTACACATTCGAATAATGATCATTACATATAAAAAATAATGTATCCTATACATATAAAAATAATGCCTATAAAATTGTAACAATTGTGCAAGCTATGGTCCACCAAATAAGCATTGGTTCTGGCAAATTATATTGTGGATCATAGTCCGCATTGTAATGTAGATCATGTATAAATGTTCAATTTTAATTTGTTAAATATTTATTTTTAATGTATTAAAAATTTATTTTAGATAGTATATCTAATAATGAATTGAACCTTCGATATGTATTAAAAATAAATGTTATGTAAGTAAATGTACCTTGAACCATGGGTCATGATATAATGATTGAGGTAGTCCCAGCCTAAGCCCGCTCGGAAAACCTTAGGTTCTTATTTTTTCAGGGCAATTCATGACTAATCCAGTCCTGATTCCCGAATGGACCTATGGCCGCCTCTTATTCAAGTTCTAAGCAATTCATCATTTATGATTTATTTCTTTCTTAATTGATTGATTTTTCAATAGCAACAAATAAAAATGTCTAAATTGACTAATGTTATTTCTCACTCCTAAATTGACTCTCTCATCTTCCTTTATTTTTGGTATATTTTTTTATGTAGTGTGGTACAGTCTTGATACTATACCCATAGACGTAAATGAAGATTCATCTTATAACATTTCCCAAGAATGGCATTTTCCCACCATCCAGAAAAGTGGACGATAAATTAAGTTTTTTTTTTTTCTAAATTATTGACCACCCTATTGGATGGTCGGAATGGGGACAGTATTTCGGACCACTCTCAAATGGTGGGTCGGAAATGTTATGACCTTTATTTTTTAATTTGTCTGCTTAAATAACAGACACGGAGCATTTCTCTTGGAGTTGACGACACGGCGACACCGGCATCCCTAATCGGTCCCACCTCAAGCTACGATCGGAGTCATCGCCATCCTCAAGCTAAAGCTATGGAGTCTCCATCCTCAACTGATTCAATTCGCACCTCAACCGAGTCATCAACGGAGTCATTTCAAGCTAAAGCTACGGAGTATTCACATCCTCAACCAAAAGGTAATTGCATTTTAATGCTATGTATTAAGTCTACTAAATTTAGTCTTTGTTTAGGGTTTAAGGCTTAGAAATCTTATTTTAACTGTATTTTCCTTCTTTTTTTTCCTGCTTTTTTGCTTTGACATTTCTGAGTAAATATAGATGGATTTGTAGGTTTAGATATTAAGAAATATATAATACTCCCTCTGATTTCTGCTGCATTTTGTTGTTTTTCTATTTTTTTGCAAGCACATATTGAAGGACTTGATACAGAAATTTTCATAGCCTAAGGAAGAAGAGAAATCCAAATTTCATATACTTTAAGCTTTTCCATGAAAATTATGTGGAATATGCAAACAAGGCTCTGAGGACTATATTTTCTTGTCTTTGAGGACTAAAGAACTTGCTATTTGTGGTGTCATGTATTATTGTTGGACCTATGATGCAACTGAATTATCTTGATAGTCATGATATATGCACTGGACAGTTAGACTCATAATCCACTTCCAAAATTTCTAATATGTTTTCCCCCCTATATAAGTCTTGTTCATCACTTATTTTCTCTATCAACTAAAGCAATTAAAAGAGATTTTGTCTAGTATTGGTAGAGCATTGCTTGCTGCACATTAGTTATAACCTAAGTGGTGCTTGTAGTACTTAATACTTGAGGTGTCTACAATGGTAGGGAAGCATTTTGTCAGTAAAGCTATATTTTGTATAAGATGATTTTAGGGACGATGATTCTCCGAATGAAATATTCTGATGATCCTAGATGGCTGCTCAATTTTATTTTATTTATTATTTTTTTTTTTGTAATTTTTGAGATGAGAACTCCCTTCAGTTTTGCCTTCCTCTAATGAGATTATGCATAACATTTTCCCCTTTGTTCTAGGTGTACTTTGAACTCCAGCACCACGCCCCTCATTTGAAGAGAATCATTTAGTGCTCATCCGGTGCTAACTTCCCCTCGAGCTTTCAAGGGTAAATTTTCTTTCTGGGTTTGGTTTTCTCGACTGTAATTTCTGTGCTTTATTACAGATTATTGATTGATTCTCCAGCCAATTTTAGCGATTCCCATTTCTTGCGTTGTGCATTTATTTGTCTTAATTAGTAGTTTGACAGAATCAATTAGTTCCTCCTGTAAAACTTGCCCTAAAATCTTGGTAAATTTTGGGTTTCGTCTCATATTGTTCTTGGAATCTTGGTTGGTGAAGCCTTTGAGGTCAACTCCAAGTCAGTTTAGGTGAGCCAGAAAGAAGGATAGTTTTTGCAAAAAATGTAGATAGTGATTATTTAAAAGGTTAATTGCATGTTTAGTCTCTAAGATAAACAATAGGGTCAAATTAGCCCCTTAATTACATGATTGAGCAAATGATACCCCTAATTATGCATCTTCATGGTGATTTGAAGATCTTGAGTAATGGATTTTGTGTTTTGTTGTGTTTTAGGTTTTCATGTCATCCTTCAATTTTTAATACCGAGTGTCCCAGAACATGTGTTAAACTGAGACAAAAATAGGCTAGTGGGGATTACAGATTACTATATAAGATTCCAATCTTTTTAGGTCCATGGAGGTTTTTTTTTTGTCTGCAATGCATATTACTATGCTATGGAAATGAATGAAGAATTTAAATGACTGATACAGAATTACAATAAATATCTTACTTAGCAATAATGTGATTTTGTCTCCCCAAGATTTGGGTGTGATACTGCAGCAGTTATTAATATCCTTGCTATGAACTCCAGGATTTGGTGTGATACTGCAGCAGTTATTACAAAAGCTGAGATCTTTGTCAACAGCACATAAAAGATCACTATCAAAAGCAGAGCAAGAGTTCAAATCAGAACTTGGTAACTAAATTTATTTACTGATAATCTTTGCTATGGTTTCTGGATAATTAAAACATGCTTCCTTCCAACAGTTTTGCTCATCACATCTACAACTCATGTCATTATGATTGCCTATATATTTTTGTGCGATATATCCTTCCAGCAGTTATTAATATCCTTCATCCTCTTACTGTATTAGTGGTCATAGAATTAGACATCTACATTTAACTTCCCAAAAGTGATTAATATCATTCTTCTGTGTTGTTTTAAAATAATTTGGTTCTTTTAAATAAGGTTTTTGGAGTAGTAGAGAGTTAACAATAGTTTGCCTTTATTGTCAGGAGTTCATATTGTTTGAAATCTAGACCTCAAGACTTGAGGTTGCATCTAGTACAATGGCAAAACATGGAAAATTTTCAGTTGATGCTAAGGCTCGTACTAAAACAAAACATATGAGAAAAAGAAAGAAGATATCTAAGGTATTATTGTCTCTTAGTTATATGTTGTTTAAGTTATTGTGTACATTTAACCTTATTACTAATGAATAGAGTTGGCAGTTAATTAATCGTACTCTTTTTATCATTTTTAACATTCGGGTTTAAGACAAAATACTGTGATCCTACGATATCTAAGCAGTGTTGGGGGCTGCCATTACTATACTTAATAATACTAAGTGTTATTAGTAATGCTAAAGTAGTTTGAAATTTATTTTGGCAGAATGGAAAAACAGCACAAAAGATATTTAAGATAAGCTGAATTTGATATTTTCAACAATATTCTTATTGTAGAAAACTAAATCATTGCTTTCTTCTATGCAGGGAAGAAAATCTGAAGCTCGAGATTTGGAAGAGCAATACTGTAGTTTATGTGAGACTACCCAGAAAACGGAAGCAACATTTGCCCACTTTAGTGCACATCTTAGTAGTCCTATGATGATACATTGATACTATATCCCCCACTCTGATGAAGATTAGATAGTGCATTATTTGAACCGGCGGTTTAAATCGAAACTGGATTTAGAATAAATGCGAATCGGAACTGAACAGATTTATAAACACCGTTTGTAAATGAGAAATCTGGTCGGTTCCAGTTCACATTTATTCTAATTTCAGTTTCGGTTTGAACCGCCGGTTCAAAATTTATTTATTTTTGTAAATTCTATTTTTTTTTAAATTTTAAAATAGACTAATTCAATAATTATTTTATTTTATTCAGTTCTGAATCATAAATTCAATAATTATTTTATTTTATTCAGTTCTGAATCATAAATTCAATAATTATTTTATTTTATTTAGTTCTGAATCATAACAAGAACCGTTCCTACTGTTTTAGTTCGGTTGCTATAGTGTGCGGTTCGATTTGAATCGAACCGTAGTCATCCCTACATATAAGCAATAATTTGTTGAAGAAAAATCAATGAAATAATTATTTTAAGAGTAAAAATGTCCATTTAACATCAAAGGGGAGAAAACTACCACTCTTAAAATAATTGAGAGGGTATGGGTACATGAATAACTCAAGGGAAAAAAGTGTATAAGCCTATAATTCAGTGGAAAAAAGTGTTTTTTTCCCGAGTTAAGAATAATAAATAGTTAACGGAATATTCTGTTACTAAAGTTTATACTAACAGAATGCAATATTATTTAAGAGAATAAAATAATATAATAGAGATTAATAAGGAAAATTATTTTAAAAATACTAAAATCAAAATAATATGAACCATTCATTTCAATAAACAATTACACTACATTTTTTGTTCCCGTTAATGACCTAACTTTATTGGCTCTTATTAGATTTGCAAATTACGTTGTGCAACCGTGGATGGTGCACACGGATCTAGATTCATAATTTCTATATTGTAGATTCATAATTGCTATACTGTAGATTCATAAAATCTATACTGTAGATTCATAATTTTATAAATATATGTTCATAATTATAGAGCTATATGTTCATAATTTTCGATGTTCATATTCCCAATTGTTGAACTCTGTATTCACAAATCACATAACTATATGTTCATAATTTGATAACTATACAGTTTAGAAATTATGAATCTACAGTACAGAAATTATGAATCTACAGTACAGATATTATGAATCTGCAGTATAGAAATTATGAATCTACTGTATAGAAATTATGAATCTACTGTATTTAAATTATGAATCTACAGTTTATAAATTATGAATCTACAGTATAGAGTTTATGAATATACAGTATAGAAATTATGCTAGTGATATATAACTATATGCTTGAGATATATAGCTATATGCTTGAGATTTATATAGCTATATGTTTGAGATATATAACTATATGCTTGTGATATATAGCTATATGCTTGTGATATATAGCTATATGCTTGAGATATATAGCTATATGCTTGGGTTTTTTAATGCATGTTTGCCTAATTAATTTCGATTGATGAACTTTGAATTTACATTTCAAGTTCAAAAGTACACTTAACATGCGTTGGAATATGTAGCTATATGCTTGGGATTATTAACCTACATATATGGATATTATTTATATTTATTCTTTGCATGTTTTCATGCGTAAGGAATATATATATATATATATATATATATATATATATATATATATATATATATATATATATATATATATATATATATATATATATATATATGTGTGTGTGTGTGTGTGTGTGTGTGTGTGTAGAATCGCACTCAGGTGCGAATGCTTCGCCCCGGCGCGAAATAGGAATGGATTCTGTCCGTCCACGTGTCCAGATCTAATGGATGAGAAACACTGATTTATTAAAAAAACGCGGTGGCATTTTCGTAAATAATTGAACATCGAAGTGCAAGTAAAATGTATTACAAATGCATGTAAAATGTATTATCGGTGCAAGTAAAAATTTACACTGAGCATCAATACTTAGTTGCACCTATAGTTATAAGTAGTTGCACACATAGTTATAAGTAGTTGCACCTAGGTGTATGAATGTTTGCGAGTGGTTTTCAGGGGTATTACTACCCGCTGAACTCAGATCAATGAATGTTAACAAGGCAAAATTACATGCACTTATAGGTGAAAGTAGGTGCACCTATAGTTACAAGTTGTTGCACCTATAGTTATAAATAGTTGCACATATAGTTATAAGCACACCCAGGTGCATGAATGTTTGCGGAAAGTGAATGCTAACAAGACAAAATTACATGCACTTATAGGTGAAAGTAGGTGCACCTATAGTTATAAGTAGTTGCACCTATAGTTATAAATAGTTGCACATATAGTTATAAGCACACCCAGGTGCATGAATGTTTGCGGAAAGTGAATGCTAACAAGGCAAAAGAGAAAATTACACTTTTGGTCCTATGACTATAGTGGAGGTGGTAATTTCAGTTCGTGACTTTTAAAACTAACAGATTTAGTCCTTTTAGTAAGCTTTTTTTTACACATTAAGTCCTTCCGGTCAAATCACCGGTGAATTTTGGCCGGAAAAACGCAATCCCTTAATTTATTAAATATTTGGGGGTAAAATGGTCAATTCAGATTCTTCTTTCTTCTTCCTTCTCCTTCCTACTTCTTCGTTCTTCTTCTTCCTTCTTGTATTTGGGGGGTAAAATGCACTGATGTGTTTTGTGATTATATTGTGTTTTGTGATTCATGTTAAAAGAAGGTGGCAGTGTGGCACTAGAAAAACACATTTCTATATCCCTCAAGAAGAGGGTGATTAGCCGAAAGTAGGCATTCTTTGTCAGAAACAACACAATTCGGCCAAGCCATTGTAACAGAGATGTTCCTAATGCATTGATAAACACCACACATTCTATATGTCATTAGAGGAAAACACAAAGACATAACTATATATAAAACAGGAGCAGCCCGAGGCCAGTAGTCGAGCATAAGTATCATTGCAAAGAGTTTATACAAATATTGCATTTCAATATATCTTTTACAGAAGACTGAATATACATACATAAAAACTTGCATCTTTAGAAGACCAGATTTGCCATTTGAATACACATTGATAATCATCACACATACATTCTACACATTCTATACGTCACTAGAGGAAATCCCAAGACTTAACTATATATAAAACAGACAGCAGCCCGAGCATAGGTAATAGGTATCATTGCAAAGAGTTTATACAAATACTGAATTTCAATATATCTTTCACATAAGACTAAATATACATTATACATACATAAAAACTTGCAAATCTTTAGAAGACTAGCAAAGCCATTTCAATAGAGATGTTCCTAATGCATTGATAAACGTCATTACAGGAAAACACCAGACTTATATTGTGTTTTGTGATTCAGTGCATTTTACCCCCCAAATACAAGAAGGAAGAAGAAGAACGAAGAAGTAGGAAGGAGAAGGAAGAAGAAAGAAGAATATGAATTGACCATTTTACCCCCCAAATATTTAATAAATTAAGGGATTGTGTTTTTCCGGCCAAAATCCACCGGTGATTTGGCCGGAAGGACTTAATGTGTAAAAAAAAGCTTACTAAAAGGACTAAATCTGTTAGTTTTAAAAGTCACGAACTGAAATTACCACCTCCACTATAGTCATAGGACCAAAAGTGTAATTTTCTCCAAGGCAAAATTACATGCACTTATAGGTGAAAGTAGGTGCACTTGTAAGTGATTTTACTTGCACTTCGATGTTCAATTATTTACGAAAATGCCACCGTGTTTTTTTTTAAGTTATTAGATCTGGACACGTGTCACGCGCTGATTCGTTCGCATTTCCCTCCTGAGCACTTATTCGCACCTGAGTGCATCCCTATATATATATATATATATATATATATATATATATATATATATATATATATATATATATAATTTTGCATACAATTACTGACTCAAAATGAATTTATTTATTTCTCTAGTGATGGATATATCATTCAGGATATATCTTATCTTATGGAAGTTGAGTTTAAATCACAGCAACTTCCATGTAACTTCTCCAAACAGATATATTTTTTATCTATAAATATTTTGGAGAAACATCTGAAAGGAACATGCAAAAACTTGCATTAAACTGAGATTTTCACAGTCTTACAATTCTTCAGGAATTTCTCAAATAAAGCAACTTGAGAATTTCATTCATCTTTCTTGTATCCCATAAGATTAAATCTTGAACCTTGTTGCTTTTATAGAGGAAGATTTAAAGCTTATAGGAAAGTGATTACACGCCTGAAAATATCAAATGATCCAGTTTTTGTTCCCTGTTATATTCTGTATTATTGTTGTATTTCAAATAGATTACAGTATACTCTTTTTTCCAACAAAACTTGGTTCTTAAACTATGAACTTATAAATCATACATTCTACGAGATGCATCTTGGAAGGAAATTCTGCATCAGCTTTGAAGGATGTGTTAAAAAGAGGAAGAGATCAAACAAAATATTGCACATTGTTCATAATTAGAACTGAAACCGAATGAAAAATAGAATGATCCTTCCTGCAGTTTTAGAACCAATGTTCATATTAGAACAATGTTTTGGCTACAAATTAAAGTGAGCATTTACCTGCAGTTTCCTCTAATAATATATAATATTTGCAGAAATCTACTCTTCTTTTTTTTTTTTTTGGTAGAGACAGAAATCTAATCTTGAAATGTATTATATATATGTGTGGGAGTGGAACAAGAATTTGTGGCGTCAATGGCACGGGCCTTCAATATCAGTTAGTTAAATTCCCAAAAAGTTTATGCTTGCTGCGCTGTTAAAAGAAAATTTCATTCGTTATAGTTGGAATAATTGAAGGACCAAATTTCTTAAAATTAAAAACTGAGACTACATTGTAAAGGGATTAAAAGTGTAATTTCTGCTTAGTAACTACAACAAGTTCATTTGTTGACTTAGTAATCTTCAATGTTGCAAAAGGCGCTAGGCGCTGACTGGCCATCTAACGTATTATCATAGTCGGTGGTCTAGGCGGCTAGCCGACTAGGTCGCCTAAGCGCCGCCTATGCTGCCATCGACTAGATCTCCTAGGCGTCGAGTCGTCGACTATGCCTTTAATATCAGTCAAATTCCCTAAAAACTCATGCCGAAAATTTCACAAGACTAAATTGATTATAGTTAGAATAATTGA